TTTGTCGACACAGAGATAAAGCCCAGCTAGGGCTACATAGTAAAACCTGCCCTGAATAAAATTGAAAGATAAAACAGAAACCAGTCTTGGGTCGGCATCGTTCAGCCAGGACCAAGGCATTATCTGGGCTTGCTTCAGAGCCACGTAAATGCAAAGACTTTCTCAAGTGCAAAGCCAGTCTCTGCAGCTCTCATCACTCGGGCGAGTTAGAAGCAAGAGTTTCGGGCAAGTCAGTTCCCAAACGGGGCCACCACACACATGCAAACTCCCGCACAGAGGCACTGGCTCCCTAGGAGCGCGGGCTCAGTGCCCCGCACCCCCACACTGCGGCCGCTCCCTCCGGGCCAGGTCTGGGGGTGCGCGTGCTCCCGGCTGGACTCGAGGCAGCTTTGAGTACCGGGAGGGGCGCCTGGCGGATGCGCCGCCGAGAGCAGGCACCCCGGCACCGGCAGGGTCCCCAGCGCCTTTGCCAGGAAGTTTCTGGAAAGCGGCCAGCCCGGGCCGCCACAGACGCCGGGAGGGAGCGCGTGGGGGCGGGGAGCCGGCTCCGAGGTAAACAAAGCGCGCTGAGGTCGGGTGGGTCGCCGCCCGCCGCTCACCAGCACGCGCTTGAAGAGGGCGCTCTCCTTGGGCGGCAGCTGCACGCTGGGCATCGCGGCGGCGGGGACGCCCTGCCGGCTGGGCCAGCCGCCACCCGGACCGCGGGTTACCTCAGTGGGATGCCACGGGAGACGGAACGGAACACAGCGCACTCCAGTGGGCGGCCCGGGACGGGATCCCGTGCGCGCCAAGATGGCAGCCAGGGCCCGCCCCGCCCACCGCCCCCGCGCCACGCAGCGCATGCGCAGGCTCACGGCCGCGGGCCAGGCTAGCGTCTACCTCCCCCATCCGGCGCAGTTGAAACCCTGCTCGACACAGTGTATGCTCTTGATTTAGAATCAGTCTTTTCATTCTTTTTCTTATTTAAAATGACTCTTCAAAACAGCCTTATCTTTTCAGAGCATATCAAAGCAGTGATCATGACTTATGCGGGGACATGGGCAGACCTTGAAATGACGAACTGATGGGAAAGCCCCCTTTAAAATAAAAATGTGTTGCACAATTGCGCTAAACCTATACTCACAGCACTTGGGGAGGCAGAGGCAGGAGGATGGGCTAAATTAAAAGCCAACTTGGTGTACTTAGTGAATTCTAGGTCAGGAGAAGGACAAGGAGGAAGAAAATAATCTCAGCCGGGTAGGGCACTCAACATTCTCAATACCGTGTTTCTATGGTTCCCCTGATCCTCCAGTCTGCTGCTTTTTTTTTTTCATATAAGCCACCCAATAATTGGACAAGTAGGAAAATTAAAAGACACCATGTAACAAGATACACTTAGACGTCTGTGACAACAAGGGGCAGGCCCCATGTCCAGCTTTAGATGACCAACACAAAAATAGTTCAGTTTTTATAGACTTTTGTTGCATATTGCTTTGTTTGAGGGTTTTTGTTTTTGTTTTTGTTTTTTCTTACTGTTCTTTTGTTTGTATACTTTTCTGTTTTTTTAAGATTTATTATGTATACAATGGTCTGTCTGCATATATGCCCATGGGCCAGTAGAGGGCACCAGATCTCTCTCTCCTCTCTCTCTCTCTCTCTCTCTCTCTCTCTCTCTCTCTCTCTCTCTCTCTGTGTGTGTGTGTGTGTGTGTGTGTGTGTGTGTGTGTGTGTGTGTAATGAAGATGACATGGAACTGGCTGGGAGGGAAACATGTTGGAGATGAAAGTGAGGAGGGGATATGGTCAAAATACATTGTATGCATATATGAAATTTTCAATAAATAAAGATATGATTTAAAAGTAATGCAGGGTCAGGAAGATGATTCAGTGTTTAAGAACTACTACTTTTGCAAAGGCCTGAGTTGCATTCCTAAGACCCGTATCTGGCAGTTCACAATCTCCTGCAACTACAGCTCCAAGAAGTCAGGGCCTCTTCTGCCTCCCTGGTCACTTGCATTTACATGCAAACACACACACACTACTAAAAAATAATAAAAAAACAAGCTGGGGGTGGCACACACCTTTAGCCCCAGCACTTGGGAGGCATGGCAGTATACACATTTAATCCCAGTACTTAGCAGGCTGATTTTCAAATTTGAGGCCACTCTCCCCCCCAATACAGCTAGTTCCATGCCAGCCAGAGCTATATAGTAAGAAACTCTCAAAATAATAATTAGTAATAATAAATAATAATAAATCTTTTAAAATATAAATAAAATAGGAAGTGAACAGTTATTAAGGATGGAGTCCACCAGTAGTTCAGGAAATAACTGCAATCATGACATTGCATAAAATTAAAAATCTTCCTCAGAGCAAATAAAACAGTAAGTAGAGTGGCAAAAACCTACAGAATGGAAGAGAAATCTTTGCTAGTTATACACAGTCAATTAATAGACGGGTTTCAATGGAAGAGAATAGTAAGTATATGAAAAAGTATTCCACCTCCATAGCTCTCAAGAAAGTAGAAATTAAAACTGCTATGCATAAGCATAGCTTAACCACCTGTGACAGTGGAACCAGGATGTTTCCCTGGTGCATGAAAGGACCTCGGGAGCACATTCCCCATGGAGGGACACTCCCTTAGCCTAGAGACACAGAGAAGGCCTAGTCCCTACTCCAAATGACTTCACAGATTTTGATGATCCCTCCTGGAAGGCATCACCCTCTCTGTGGAGTGGGGGAAGGTAGGATGGGGGGGTTGGGGTATATGGGAGGGAGAGGGAACTGGGATAGATATGTAAAATAAGAAAAAATTTTAAAAACCGCAGAATTAGAAGGGAAAATTATAACATTTTTAGTAATAGTGGTAAAATAATAATGCAATTAAAAAAAGAAACAGCCTGTGACATCATTTGCTTTGAGCCCCACATATGCCCCCCCTCCCCAGAAATGCATTTGGCAACCTCACTGAACTGCAAGGACACCCCACTTCCAACAATGAAGTGCTTCCCCTTGACAACACTATAGCAATGCCCCATCTTTCAAATATGTCTTAGAATGTATGTGAGAAAAAGAGGCTGAGGGCTGATCCAGCTTCAGCTGGTTTTGGGGTGCATGCATAGTAATGTGTACTCAGTGATGAATGTGTATTCAGAGTGGGTTTCTAGGGGGACAATTCCATTTACCATCTTATACGTATGCACAATTGGGAGTGCATATAAGTAAAACCAGAGACATCATAGGAACAGACATGCATAATACAAGAAAGTACAGAAAAGCTTATATAATCCAAGCTTATCAATCAAAACAGAATGAGTAACTCATACCCAGCCCTTAGCAATCAACTATTCCTAGACCCCATAAAGTAGCTTCAAACAACAGCCGATGTCCTTGAGAACTCCAACCCCATGAACCTACTCACTTGTGGGGCCTCTGGTGTGTACTGTTGCTTTGTTTCTAAATAAAGGTTCTTGCTTCTGCAGGAGCTTCTTCAATTCTCTGAACAAAATGCCAAGATCCTGCAAAGACCTGGTCAAGACACAGACCCTCCCCTACACACCTTCTTAACACCCTGAGATTCCTTTTTGCCCAAGTCAGAATGTCTATCATCAAGGAAACACAGGACAAGAAATGCTGGCAAAGAACCCTCATACACTGCTGGTAGGAACGTGGCCTGGCCATATGATTACTGTTAACTGTGGACAGGCAGAGTCCTGAGATGGGATATGAGCCTCTGTCTATGTCTGTGGGAGATTATCTTGATGAGGTTACTTAAATGGGAAGCTCCAGGCACTGTGGTGGCTCCACTCCCAGGGCCACCATTCTGGATGTATAAAACGAAGAGATCAAGCTGAGCCATAGCAAGCATGCTTGTACTTACTGCTCTCTGTTCGGGATTGTGACTGTGATATAACTAGCTCCCTCGAGCTCCGGAGGCAGTGAATTCCCCAAGAGATGGGCTGTAACCTGGAACTGTAAACCCAAATCAGCCTTTTCTCCCTTCCCTTGCTTTTGCCACAGTATTTTTATCACAGTGATGATGAAACAAAGCAGACCTAAAATACTATGATAGCTGCTATGGAAACCAATAAGGAGTTGCCTCAAAAAATATTTAAAAAAAAAATCTGTCATAGGATCCACTTATTTAACTCCTAAGTACACTACAGGGACAACTTGCATATCCATTGTCACACTACTTATAATAGCCGAGATATAGAGGCAGTGTCAACAAATAAACAGAAGAAAAGTAACATGCACACATTATAGAACTTTATTTAGCTGTATGGAAAAATGAAGTTATGCCATTTACAGGAAATGCATAGAAATGAAGACAGTGTTTTGTGAAATAAACTAGATTTAAAAAGACAAATATGACTTTTCTTATATGTGAATCTAGATTTAAATATATATGTATATGTGTCTGTGTACACACACACACACACACACATATCCACAGACATACTTATGACATGAAAGTAGGAGCATTGAGGAGAGGAAGGGGTATAAAGAGAAGGCAATAGGGGCTGGAGTATAACTCAGAGGTTAAGAGCACTGGCTGCTCTTCCATAGGTCCTGAGTTCAATTCCCAACAACCACATGGTGGCTCACAACCATCTAAGGTGAGATCTGTTGTCCTCTTCTGCATGCAGGAGTACATGCGAGCAGAACCCTGTATACATAATTAAATACATCTTTAAAAGAGAGAGAAGCAACAAGAGAGGATAATTTAATATTTAAATCAAGAAAAACTCACTTCTAGATTTGCAAGTAACTGAAAAACCTAAGCTTATAGTGGAGGATGGAGCAAGGGCTTAGGATGCAATCAAGGAGGTGTGGGGAAGGATAAACTACAACTCCCAGGATTCCTTGGTCAGGGAACAGAAGAGGGCGATCCTCTCCCTTCTGGCTCCCTCTGACTCTCACACCTCTTGGCCTTCTGCTCCAAGTAAGTTCGTAGCGCGGGCTACCCAGATGAATCTTCCCGACTCATCATTTCATTCTTGTTTACTGTTACGGACACCTAAGTACGACTATTCTGCAAGAAGCGTCAAAATGGAGGAGGAGCCAAGGGCAAACGTAACCCGGAAGCAGTAGCCTGGAAAGGAGCATGTTTGCAGAACCTTGAGCTGAAATGTTGGGGAAACGAGAACGTCGTTTTTCTTCTTTTACTTAGGTATTCACAATTCTTTCTCGGCCTTAAGAATACTTTATTTCCCCACCGCCCGCTGGTGTTACTTCCGTATAGAATGTTCTATAATACTGACTTACAAAATACAATTTTCCCATTCTGCTCCTGGCTCCCTTTAACATGCCAGAGACTGAGCATTCTTGCGTTGTGGGGGTGATGTCGAAGCCTTGTCCTTTCTAGGTTTAGGTAACCTTAGAAAGCAACGTTAAGGTCACAGGCCTTGATAATTCTCGTTCCATGACTGCTCCTAAAATGGAAATTTTAGCCAGAACTATTACAAAAATCCGCAGTCCTTTTATTCCTGATGTGTTTGATTCGCCATTTCCAGCTGTGATTAATAATTTGTTAAATTTATAGTAAAAGCCCAGCAAATGCTGAATATTCTGAATGTTTAACTTTTTAAATGATAAGGCCGTTAGATTTAGCGAGATCAAGGAAGGGGGCTTATATATGAATGTGTTGCCCAGCATAGCAACACTTGTAGTTGCTTATGGTAATTTTTTGTGCGTGTTAGCCAAGTGGTCTGTCACTGAACTACATGCCCTTATTTCTAGTTTTAATTTCAGGAGGCAAAACATTTTCCTCTCTTTGTATTCCCTCTCTTGCTCAATAAAGTCAGAGTATTCTGTTAGCTCTTGATTATCTGAGGGAAGAACACATAATTATTTTACATAGCCAATTTCACCTAGTCTGTCATTTTAAAAATGTGTGTGTGTGTGTGTGTGTGTGTGTGTGTGTGTGTGTGCCAGCATGCATGTATGTGTACCACATGTATGCTTGATACCCAGCAAGAGGCAAGAAGAAGGTATCAGGACAATCTCCTGGGGCAGGAGTTACAGGCAGTTGTGAACCACTATGCAGGTGCTGGCTTTGGCCCTCTGCAGGAACAAGTATTTTTTAACTCAAAAAAAAAAAAAAAAAAAAAAAAAAAAAAAATCTCTCCAGCTTGATAATCTTCTGTAACTCAGAAAATTATGAAAATAATGTGTGCTGTGTAAAAGACTTGGGAAAGAAGGAACACTTAAGAGGTATCTGTAAACCACAATGTGATCTTTTAATATTTAATCTCTTCCTATAGATTCTCAGCTGAAAGAGTGAAAGAGAAGCATCCTCAAGAAGTGATCACAGGGTTGAGAATGAAAAACTCTGACCGTGGACTAAACAACCATTGTTATAATACAGGCCGTGCCTTTATCCAGTGAGTGAGTAGTTGTGATTAAGTTACCCGATTTTCTTGCACATCTGAATGCCCTGAAATTAAACAATTAATGTGCGAGGCCCTGGGGTCAGTCACTAATCTCTCTCTCGCTCCCTCCCTCTTTTTCACACACACATTCTCTAATAATAATAATTTTAAGAATAAATTAATAAATACAATAAAATTGCTTGTTGAAGTTTATCCAGACATGTTGAATTTCATTTCTGAGCCAGCATTTGGGAAGCTGAAGCAGAAGGCCCCAGTTTGAAGCCAAACTGAGCTATATAGCAAAGCCCTTTTATAAACAATAAAGTAGACTAGATAATAGTTGACATGTTAATATATTCCTTAAACTTTAGAAATCTATGACTTTAGGTGTAAATATTGCATCATTATTTTATGGCTTTTTTTTTTTTTTTAAGACTTATTTATTTATTAGTCTTTGGCCTGCATGTATGCCTCAATTCCAGAAGAGGGCTCTAGATCTCATTACAGATTCCCAGCCATCAGTGCTGGGAATTGAACTCAGGACCTCTGGAAGAGCAGCCAGTGTTCTTAACTGCTGAGCCATCTCTCCAGCCTCTAGCTTTGTTTGTTGTTGTTGTTGGTGGTGGTGGTGATTTTCTTTGCCCCAGCTCCCTGGAGCAGGGTTTCTCTGTCCTGTCCTGGAGCTCACTCAGTAGACCAGGCTGGCTTCAAGAGATCTGCCTGCCTCTGCCTCCCAAGTGCTGGAATTAAAGGCATGCGCCACCACCGCCTGGCTAGTTTATAGCTTTTAAGTGTTTGTTTATATACTCATTTAAAATTAAAACTCCCTAACCCATTGTGGTGGTGTGTCTGTTAGTTACATCTGTAGTCACGTTTCCTAGCTAAGTGCATATGTAAGGTTACTCTCTTTGTGTGCATGGGCACATGTGAGGTGTACATGCACAGCACAGGGATCTCTTCCCGTCATGTGTGTCCCAGGGATTGAACTCGATGGTTGTCAGACTTAGCTGTAGGGACTTCTGTTCTCTGGGCTATTTTGCCAGTTCCTCACTTGTTTTAATATACTGTTATTTAGAGGTTTCAAGAATTTTCTTTGTGGGCTCAACCTGGTGGCACCTCCCTTTAATCCCACCATTTGGGAGGCAGAGGCAGGCAGATCTCTGAGTTCAAGGCCATTGTGATCTACAGAGTGAGTTCAAGAGCTACATAATGAGACTTACTCTAAATAAATGAATGGATGAATGAGTGAATACCGTGTGTGTGTGTGTGTGTGTGTGTGTGTGTGTGTGTGTGTGTGTGTGTCTTTCTGAGTTATTGACTGTCTTTGGAGCTAAATGAGATCATGAACTAAAGTTTCTCTGAAACTCCTAGTTTTATTGTACCATATATCTTTAGAATTGCTCATTTCAAACTGTGTATCTTGTACTACAGCTGCTGAAATGAGTCGCCACCTGCGTATTTGGCTTTTTCGGAATCCGTCTCTTAATGCTGACCCCTGGAGACGCATCTTCCTCTGCTGTCAGCAGTTTAGACAGATAAGTCTTGATACAAGGCAGTGGGATTTTAGACAACACAAGAGTCACGTTCTCCATCAGCTATTAAGTAAGAGTAGGTCCAGGAGCTACTGTCATCAAGATACGAAGATGCTTTGGAAACATAAAGCCCTACAGAAGTACATGGAAGACCTGAAGAAAGAGTACCAAACCCTTGATCGGTGTTTGCAGGGCACCTCTGAGGACGAAGGCGACCGAAGGGCCTTACACAGAAGGCATGCTGAATTGGCACCACTTGCAGCTGTTTATCAAGAAATTCAGGAGGCCGAACAAGCCATTGAAGAATTAGAGTCAATGTGTAAAAGTGGGTACATGATATCTATGGGCATGTAAGCATACAACTAATTGAACTTTGAGCTCTGTCCTCTAAAAAGCCTACAGATAATAAGCTCAATACTTGGTAAGAGGACTACATCCTTACTCAGTGTTTGACATATTTCAGTTGCTCAGGGTCTGCTAAGAGTCCAATACTCACCAAGAGCTTTAGAGTCTGGGAGACTTGATATCATCACAAGTAATTTACTGAGTTCCTCTCCCATTGCAGGGTCTGTATAGTGTAATATGAGAGAATATATGTGTTATTGATGATATCTCTACTAGAGAGAAACATAGTGTTCTAAAGAACATCTCAGCCCTCAAAACCAGACAGGTTAGGTGGACACCACTAGATGACACCAAGCATTGTGAGAACCTCAGAGAAAGCTTTGTATTTTATATGTGATAACTACTTTTTTTTTTTTTTTTTAAGAGTTAGCTATTATTTGTTTTTGTTTTTGAGACAAGTGTAGATAGCACACATGCTCAGATTAGCAATGGAGAAACTAGGAATGTTAATCATGCATTGTCTCCTCAGTGGGGAAATGTATGCTTATTTTCCACCCAGAAGGCTGGGAGTGGATATTGTTAATAACATGGTGACCTTTGCTGTATGTAGGGCCAGGCCTCACCTAAATCCCCCAGAATGTTTATCCCACACTCTCCCTCTGTGTTTCACAGTCAACAGAACCCATGCTTAGGGGAGCTGTCACATGTACTTTATAGCCTCCTGACCCCTATGTTGCCTGCACGATTGAGACCCTTAAGCTATAGAACCCATCCTGGTTTGTAAGATGTACTACTGTACTTAAATATGACTTAAATATGACATGCTCACCCAGGTTTCCTTCTTGCTTCTTGAAATTTGTTTTTGTATCAGCTGTAATATTTGCAGGGACCCCTTTACACCCAAGACAGGGTTTCAGGAGGCTGAGGCAGGAAGATAAAGGAGGTCAAGGCCAGCCTGACTATACAGTGAGTCTATCCCAGAACAAACAAAAAACTTTGTAGACATTGATGAGGTAGTTATTTAATACTTCCTCTGTAAGAATTTTTAAAAGATTAATATTCTCCCTATTGCTGGTTTCAGGTCTACATAAACAGGATGAAAAGCAGTTGCAAGAACTTGTATCAGAAGAAAGGCAAATCATTGATCAAAAGATCAACACATTGTATAGTGAGGTATGTTTCAGGCAGTATGGTAATCTCAGTAGTGCTAATATGAAGGAATGGTATTTTTTTCTAGATTATGCTTTGATGCTCAACATAACTTCTAACAGCATTCTTTTTAGCATAATGAGTAATTAAGCTGTACTTAGTACAGTTTGCTGAAGGATCATTGGAAGAGAATTGAGATGTCAGTGAATGGGAACTCCCATAGGGAGAGAAAAGTCATAGCAGAATCTATTGACTTTTGGGCAGGAAAACATGGCACACACACACACACACACACACACACACAAAATAAATGAGTAAAATCTTAAAAAGAAATGTAGTCACCATGGGGACAAGTCAGATGGTTTTTTGTTACTTGTTTGTTTTGTTTTTGTTTTTGTTTTTTTCAAGACAGGGTTTCACTGGATTGCTTTGGAGCCTGACCTGGAACTAGCTCTGTAGACCAGGCTGGCCTGGAACTCAGAGATCTACCTGCCTCTGCCTCCCGAGTGCTGGGATTAAAGCATGTGCCACCAAGGCCTGGTGATTGTGTTGGACTGAAAACCTGCATGCTGAGTATGACGGAATGAATCTAAGTGTAGTACCAGCTAGTTAGCACAGGTCTTTAGTTGGGACTAGTAAGGCTGTGGCATGCTGGGAACACTCAGGTTCATGATACTGTGTCTGCTCTAGCTGATAATCTAGTTATGAAAGGGCAAATTGTACAATAGTGGCCTCTTTTTTTCTAGTAATTGAAGACCATAGTGCCATGTACCATGTTTCCCTCAGTTGTAGTTATCATCATAGTCTCTCTGGCTCTCTTACTTACTGTGGGGTCCAGATTTTGAGGACTTAGAAGGATGAATAGAGATATCGCCTAGTGAACCAAAGGCAAAACAGATCTGACACTTATTCTAACACTCTGTCCTACAAACTGTCATTTCTAGCAGAGATGGAGTGACTCAGAAATTGGCAGTAGGGAGGAGAGTCATAACATGTAGTTACTTTTAGTTTGATTTGAAAGACCTTTTAGTAACTGGGAGGTTGTTTTGCTATTCTTCCTAGGAGGGAAACTCTTTATTAGGAACCCAGTCCCCCCCTTCCTTCTTGTCACATGTGAGAAACTGTTTGAGTCTTGAGTCTCTTAGCATAGTCTTTAAACAGAATGACCTCACCAAGAATGCAAGGTGTGGCATAGAACTGACCATCATTTATGACAGGGGAGAGTATGCAATTATATGTCAGATGTCTTCAGTTGGAGTAAATGAAGATTTCAAAGCTTTGCTTCATTTATCAGATGAAAGATGCTACTGTTTAGAACTAATTTTAAGAAGCAAAATCTGAACAAAGTTGAATGGGACACTCAACTTTGATCATAATTAACTTCATTTTAGAAAATGAAGATAATCTGAACATTGCAGAAAATACCCAAACAAGTAACTTTATTGTTATGTGAACTGATTATCCAATTAGGTTACTTAAGATACAGTTTTAGGACTTACCTTCTTGGGATAGTTCATGGTTTTGTTAATTACTGACTTCTAAAATATACTTTGAGGGCTTTGATTTAACTTCAAGTAGTAATATACCAAGGAAAATAAGCACATCAATGATTTAATTTTCCTTTCTTTCCAGCTTTTTGAGCAGCTAGTGCCAAAGGAGAAATATGACAGAAGTGATATTATTTTAGAGGTGACATCTGGAAGAACTACGGGAGGTCAGAAAAATCAGTTTATTGTAAATGCATTTTAAAAACTGAATTTTACTTGGCTTGACATCACCAAACTTGAAAAGCCCATTGCATGTGTTTAGTTTTGGACACATTTCCTGGGTGCTTATAACTAAGGATGCACTCACTAATGTTTGTGCTTACTGAATAGTTTGTGTATTTTCTTTTAGGTGATATCTGCCAACAGTTTACCCGAGAAATATTTGATATGTACCAGAATTATTCATACTATAAACACTGGAAATTTGAGCTGCTGAATTACACACCAGCAGATTATGGTAAGCATAAATTGAAGACTTTGTCAAAGGTGCTCCAACTTATTTTACTTGTAATGCTGGAACTAAAGGTGTACACCACCATATCTGGCCTACAATAAAGTTCTTAACTAAACTGAAGAGATCAGGATGGGAACCATGATGCTAAGAAGGAGTATGTGAATTAAAGAAAAAGCTGTGGAAACTAGATATCTACCTTTCCTAAACTAAAGAACCAGACATGGTGGCCCACCGCTCTAATTCCAGTACCCAGGAGGCAGACTGGGCTATTATTTCTTTATCTCTTTTTTCTAGGTGGACTCCATCACGCAGCTGCCCGAATTTCCGGAGACAGCGTCTATAAGCATTTGAAGTATGAAGGTGGAATCCATAGAGTTCAGCGAATCCCTGAGGTGGGCCTCTCATCAAGGATGCAGCGTATTCATACAGGAACAATGTCGGTTATTGTCCTTCCTCAGCCAGATGAGGTAACTTCACTAGGACACAGTGAGATTGGCTCCGTGTAATGTATATTGTGCTAAGAAATCCTACCTGCTAGATAAGTCTGTTTTCATGGTTGGCAATTGAACTTAATAGTCTTTGTTGAAAGTCGTTAACTCTTCCCCACATAAATTAGCCTTATTATCCCTATAATGTTTTGTTTATTTTGTTTTATTTAAAAGAGAAGTCACAGGGCCAGACAAGATGACTCAATAGCTAAAGGTGCTTTGTTGCCAAGCCTGATGACCTGAGTTTAATCCCTGGAACCCACATGGTGGAAGGAGAGAACCAAACCCCCAAAGTTGTCCTCTGACTTCCACAGGCACACGCACACATGCACGCACGCTCGCGCACACACACAATAAAAACAGCAACAATTTACTGTCTCACAGTCATAGAGGCAAACAGTCCCAAAAGTCCCCAATCAAGGTGGCTGCCTGGTCTTAATCTCTCTGAAGGGACAGTGTCCTCCATTGCACTTCCAGCTTCAAGAAGCTCCAGGTGCTCTTGGCTTGACGCTGTACACCACCAGCTTGTGCTCTGAATTCCCACGGTCTTCTCTACGAAGGGAGCTCAGTGTCTTGTCAGGACACTATGCTTGTATATTTAGAGTCTGTCTGGACATCTAGTATGATCTTTAAAAAGCTGTTTTTATTTTCATTTATTTCGTGTGTCTGTATGTGAGTGAGCATGTGCCCCATAGCTTGCATATGGAGGTCATGAAGTCAATCCTCTCCTACTATGTGTGTCCCAGGAGTGGAACTCAAGTCTTCAGCCTCAGCAGCAGCTGCCTTCACCAGCTGAGCCATCCATCTCACCAGCCCTGTGCTCGTCTATTAAATTCAGTTGTGTCTTCTCAGATCTCCTTTCCAAACAAAGTTCAAGGAGTAAAACTGTGACCCACCAATAAATACACACATGCAGAGGGGGAGAGAGAGCATGTAGGAGACCCAGGAGCAGTATTAAGGGTCCACTCAGTAGTTCAGAATTCACCCATCCATATACATGTACATATCTCACCTAGATTAGAGCCTTAAATCCCCCAAACAACCCATCTGCAAGACTCAGTTTCTTTGTTTCACAAGAGAAAATGAGTCTCAGGAGAAGAGATTAGCCTGAGCTGCTCCACTAACTGGGTTAAAACCCAGCATAACTAACCCCGAGCAAAGCTCCCATGTTCTCCACTGCCCTGCTCCGGCATCTCTGGACCCTGGTTGTGTGTGTGAGAGCTGAGATGAGAAGGTAAGAGCGTCGCCCTGTCTGACTGTGACTGAGAATATGAGAATGTGGAACGGCTCAAGTGTTTCAGTGTGAAAGTGGCACGGGAAGAGATCCCGGTGAGAAGGTGAATTGCTAACCCTGAATTCTGGGTTAGAACCGATGAGTGGGTTACAGACATTGCTAACCCTGAATTCTGGGGATAATGAGAACCAATGAGTGGGTTACAGACATTTTTATGACCTGTGTAATTTGAGATAACCAGTGGTGAAACCCATAAAAGATACATAATTCAGTGCTCAAACCATTCTAAGTCAGTCCAAAGGTAGAATGCTTACCTAGCAAGTATAATGCCCTGGGTTAAAACCCTATCACCTCAAAAACAAAAACAAAAACAGTATTTCATTGAAATTGGTTGTTATTAGCCTGTGGTGGTGGCACATGACTTTAATCCCGACACTCGGGAGGCAGAAGCAGGCAGATCTTTGAGGTTGAGGCCAACCTGGTATATAGAGCTAATTCTAGGACAGTTGGAACTACACAAAGAAACCCTGTCTCGGGTGAAAACAGAGGAGAGAGAGGTCATTTATGCTTCTTTGGTTTTTCTTTTTTTCTTTTTTTTTTTTTAATTTGTGGTTTACATAGTTTAGTTTATTTGAAAAATCTCAGAATAAGTATTTGTGGAATTGTGAATTTACTTACGCTATATATTTTGGTCCTAGGTAGATGTGAAAGTAGATCCCAGGGATCTGCGAATTGACACATTTCGATCCAAAGGAGCAGGAGGACAGCATGTTAATACCACAGACAGTGCTGTGAGGCTCGTCCATATCCCCACAGGTGAGCGAGGCCTTGGCTTTTCTCTTCGTTACTTTCTATTGATATAGCAGGACACCATGACCAAGGCAACTTAGAAAAGAAAACATTTGATTCAGGGCTCATGGTTCCAGAGCGTAGAGTCCATGACCACCATGGCAGGGAGCATGGCAGCAGGCAGACAGGAATGCATGGTGCTGGAGCGGTAGCTGAGACCTTCTGTCTGTCTTCATCCACAAGCACAAGGCAGAGAGAGCTAACTAAATGGTGTGGGCTTTGAAAACTTAAAACCCACCCCCAGTGACACACCTCCTCAATCAGGCCACACCTCCTAATCCTTTCCAAACTTCCACCAACTGAGGACCAGGCACTATATATTTGAATATATTTACAGTTTAAATATGGCGGTGGCATTGTGGATCTGATGTACCAGTGTGTCTGTTTTCTTCTGTTTGGAAACAGCTCTTCCTTTGAAAGATGCAGGTGGTAAGCATATCTGTGCAGAAAAGGTGCTTAGATATGCTTACAGAGCTGCTCCATGAGTGGTGCTCAGTTCAGCTCCAAAGGGAACAGATACAGCATGGACCTGTGGATCCTGTGTCATCTTGTAAATGAAGGGCTAGTGCAGTTCTCAGCACCTACAACAGATGTCTCACTTCTGCCACCACGGACACTGGAAGTGACACTAACCACAGAACCCAGGCTTCAGCCATGCTAGCTTGGCTCTGTCACTGAGCTACACCCCCAGGCTTGCATAAAGGGGTATTTTCAACATCAGACTCCCTGAATAGGACAGGAGGGTGGACAGCACTCCATAGAGGATGGCAGAAGTTTACTTTTGGAAGAGCAGAAAAGGAGAGGAAGTGCTCAGAGAATAAAAGTAAATCAGACCAGCTCCTGCTTCAGGCTTTTCATTTGAAGATTTAAGAGTCATGCCTCATAGCACACCCCTATAATCCCAGCATTTAAAAAAAAAAGGCAGGAACAGTGGTACACATCTTTAAACCCAGCAATTAGTTGGGAGGCAGAGGCAGGCAGATCCAATTCAAGGCCAGCCTCCTCTACAGAGCCAGTTTCAGGACAGCCAGGACTGTTACACGGAAACACTCCCAAAAAAACAAAACAAAACGAAACTACATCGTGAGCACCTGTCTTGAAAACAGAAAAGAAAAAAAGAAAAGCGGGGAAATATCTCATTTAGATGCCAGAATCTAAGCAGGGCTACAGTCCTTACCAACTGTTTCTAAAGTGTGCGAAATCTAAACAGTTGCTTACCTTTTGTCACATGTCCTGATTAACCCTTCCCCTTACAAAGTTCCTCAGCCAGGTGTGGTGGTCCGAACCGTTAATCCCAGAACTCCTAGGGCAGAGGCAGGCTGGGTACAAGACCAGCTGGGGTTACTCAGTGAGACCCTGTCACACACAATAAATAAAATGTTCTTGTTTCTGCTGTATTTGACCTGTGGAAATTACTAGTGATACTTTACCTCTGGTTCCTATTGTCTTTCAGGACTGGTGGTAGAGTGCCAACAAGAACGATCACAGCTGAAAAATAAAGAAATAGCTCTGCGTGTGTTGAGAGCTAGACTCTACCAACAGAAAGTTGAGAAAGAGAAGTGTCAGCAACAGAGTGCTAGAAAACTGCAGGTAAGACAAGTATAGCAATTGCAACACTGTAGGAAAGTTATTACACGTAGAAAAGGCAGTGTGTATCCCAACTTGAATGGACATGTCTTAGAGAGAAATGCGCTTATTTGCTTAAATGCTCTAAATGTAGCCTGAGGTGTTGGGATTGCATTTAGGCATGCCAGTTTCTTTCCAAGGGAATAAATGAATAAATAAAAGTATCTCTTAATTGTCTTAAAAGGAAGTTGGTGGGGGTTTGTTTGTTTTATTGTTTTTTTGAGACGGTTTCTCTGTGTAGCCCTTGCTGTCGTAGAACTAGCTCTGTAGACCTAGCTGGCTTCAACATCAAAGAGATCAGCCTGCCTCTACCTCCCTAGTGCTGGGATTAAAGGCGTCGGCCACCACTGCCTGGCAAGGAAATTGGTTTTAAGACACAATAATTCCCTGGAAATTAGAAAATTTTCAGATACTTAAAGGCCTATGGTTTTTTATTACAACCTTATATGAATCAAACACAAATGGCACTTTGAGAAACAAGGAAGGGAGATTGCTGCTGGAGTCTGGGGATGAAGAGTAAAGGGAAGATTGACTTTCATTTCATGTCCTTTGGTACTTCTTGAATTTTATTTAAGATATATTTATATAGTATGCAAAGCTAGGCACAGTGGCATATGCCTTTAATCCCAGCACTCAAGAGGCTGAGGTAGACAGAATGCTATAGTCTACCTATGGACATCCTATTTAAAAAAAAGGTTACATATAAAATATGTTATGTATAAATGTAAGTTATATATTACTAATATATAACATAGTATATTCTAAACAACAAATCCCACTGTTGTAAGTAAACAAAGTATAAATTAAAATCTTCCAGAATGGTAAAGTTTCTCTTTGAGTGAGCCTAGGAGGGAAAGAAGAACTCAGAAATAAGTATGCATAGGATTGTGTCTGTAGCTCAGTGGTAGAGCACTTGCCTAGTGTGTGCAGGGTCTTAGCTTTGACCTCAGCACTGCATGCAGGAAGAAATTTAAAAAAGAGAGCGAGAGGAAGGAGGGAAGGCAGGCAGGCAGGAAGAAATGTGCTTTTATGTGTTATTTTCATATAAATCAAACTTGGAAGACTTTTGTGGCCTTTTAGGAAAGTGAATTGCATAAATCTTTTAAATATTTAAATATTAAATAATTAAATATTAAATAATCCTAGCACTTGGGAGACAGAAGCAGAAGGATTCTGTGTTCTAAGACAGCCAAGGCTGTTACACAGAGAAATCCTGTCTGGAAAAAAAACAAAACCAAATCAAAACAACAAACCTTTTAAATATTAATCATTCTGCTTGTCATGATATGCCATGACATGAACCCTTTCCCTGTTTGTCTTTCTAGCTTTCTTTGCCCACTTTCCAGCTTGTAGTAGAAGAGAAAGGACAGAGGGTGTATTAGGTCACATTTGAGGGGCCAGAAAGACCTCTCAGCTGCCTTGTGTATCCGTGGGCTGTTTTAGTAGCAATTTCTACTGTTTCAGAACTTTTCCTTCAGTCATACAGTGGTCTTTATGCAGTGCCCAGTGTTCAACCCTGGTTCCGTCATCACCCAGGATTCTAATCCAACTGATCTAGAGTGGGGTCCTAATTTGGCACTTTCCAGACCCAGCTTGGCAGAAGGAATAGCTGAGGGACTGTTTCAGAACACACAGTCCCTAGTTCAGTGTGTTTATGATTGAGTTTAGAAGTCTGTAACTTTTTAAAATTCTCCCGATAAGAAGTTTCATTTCATATTGCTTGCCTCAGGCTTTAAAAATGAGTCAGTATTTGGGAGGGTGAGACAAGAAGATTGCCAGGTCCAGATCAGCCTGTGCTGTATATTGAGAGTCTGTTTGAAGAAAGAACAGGAGAGCTGCGGGCAGTGGGAGAGAGTTGTGTTTCTTTCATCTTAAAAGATGAAAGCAATTGAGAGAGTGCGGTGTGGACGGGAGCAGCCATTGCGTGGCGGGATTGTTGGTGATCCCAAGTTGCAAGTTTAAAGGAGTCAGAGAATGTATTTCAGTTACTGGGCAGGGGTGGTAGGGGAGTGGTGGGGAAGAACATCCCTTAACATGAGGAGCTAGACAACACGTGACTGACATGATATAGCAAGTGGCATTGTAAAGGTTCACATGATTCTCAGAAGAAATGTTGGGAAGCCTGTGCATGCTAAGAGGTACCTTGAATGCCGAGTTCAGGTGTGTTCTCCTAGCAGATAACAAGGACCCATGGGAGAAAGCTGCTCAGACAACTGCCTTAGGAAGATGAAGTAAGGTAGTTCATGGACGCAGAGACATGCAATGTTAATCTGTGGTGTAAGCGAAGTTGATATTAGAAATGCAAAATCAGGATATAACTCAGCACCAGCTGGAAATGGGCATCTAGACAACTGGACTGAACCGAGAGTGCTTTCTCCCCAGAGCCTGCATCAGGCTACACAATGGCACAGTGTATTTCTGAAAATTAAAAACTCTAAAAAGGAAAGAAAAGAAAGGAGCACATAATGGGTTCATTTGTAGGAACCAGGAGGAAGAACTGATTGGGCTAGAAGAGATGATTCATTTGGTTTTCAATATTTAGAGTTTGAGCTATCAGAGAGGCAGTTATTCTTACTCCATAGCTGAGGTCCACGGGTCTGCGGTCATCTGTTTGGTGGGCTGGGGGTGGAACTAGGGCCTTTTGCGGGTAAGCATGCATTGTCCCACTCAGCTGCTTCCCCAACCCCAAACCCAGTCTTAAGATTTCCTTCTGCCTGTTCTTGTCTTGGTCTATGAATATAAGCAGTTTTTAGTAGATACTTAAGCCCCTCAAACAGGAAAGTCATGTAAAAGGAATTAAGATTTAATATATATTGTAATTTTTTTATTTTCAAATTAAAAATATGAATTTCTTTTTGTTATTGGACAGGTGGGAACAAGAGCACAGTCAGAGAGAATCCGGACATATAATTTCACCCAGGATAGAGTGACTGACCATAGAATAGCATTTGAAGTTCGGGACATTAAGGTAATATTGCATTATGTACCTTTGCTTTGTTAGAAAGCATAATCAGGCTGGCTGGATAGCTCACTGGCTAAAAGCATGTGAGTGTAATAAATTCTAATTTTTTTTTGTTATGCCATCACATTTTATTATGATATAACAAGTACACAAATCTACAGGTATTCATTTGTAATTGCCACATAGTTAGCAGCTTAAAATAGTATCTTATGAAGTTTCTGTGATACTAGGAATTGAACCCACACATGCTTGTTAGTGAGACCAGAATTCTAAGCACAGCTGAGTCGTTGTCTGCTTGGGGGTCTCACAAGGCTGGAACAAAGATAGTGTGGCTGATCTACTCACTTTTCTGGACTCCTTCCTCTGCCATTGTCCCAAGCTTCAGGACTGATGTGCTCTCGCTCACAGTCGGGTAGAAGCTGCTCTTAGCATTCTCTAAATGTTGCTATAAGTAGCTTCCCAAGTGGCTCCCTCAAACACCCTCTCCCCACTTTTAATGCTTTCTTACAGGCATGGGTAGGCCTTTTTAGAGGTACCTCTGATTAGGCGAAACCCACTAGAATGACATTGCATTTTATTAACTCTAAGTCTCCTTATTCATTACCTGGTTCGCTGACCACGAAGTCTAGTCAATTGGTGAGCTCCAGTGTCACTGAAAAGACCCCATCTCAAGAAGTGGAAATTAGCAGAGATAGCTATCTGATACTGACCACTGGCTTCTATCCATGTTCACATATACATGTAGCAGCTGCACATTTGCATACACATGTGCACATGCAATAAGCAAAAAAAGAAATTGAAAAGGAAAAAATCCCTAGAAATATAGAAGTCTTGAACTGTTAAGGTTGGTAAAATGCTTGCCTTACAAGCATGAGAACCATGTTTTGCCTCCAGAACCTGTACAAACCTGTACAAAAACGTGTGTGTGTGTGTGTGTGTGTGTGTGTGTGTGTGTGTGTGTGTGTGTGTGTTTCGAGACAGGGTTTCTCTGTGTAACTTTGTACTTTGGAGCCTGTCCTGGAACTAGCTCTTGTAGACCAGGCTGGCCTCCAATTCACAAAGATCTGCTTCCCTGTGCCTCCCGAGTGCTGGGACTAAATGCATGTGCCACCACCTCCTGGCTGGATTTTTTAAAGAGTTACTTATGAATACAGTGTGCTGTCTGCATGTGCACCTGCAGGCCAGAAGGGGGCACCAGATCTCATTACAGATGGTTGTGAGCCACCATGTGGTTGCTGGAACCTGAACCAAGACCTCTGGAAGAACAGTCAGTGCTCCTAACCTCATCTTAAACAGCTCCCCACTGGGAAGCAGACATTCAAATATATGAGCCTGTAGGGACTATTCTCACTCAAAGCCCTGCACCACACTCTCTGGCCCCTTGTTTTTGGGCCTGTGACAGCACAGCACATCATGGCAGGAGGCAGAGACAGCTATTAGCCTCATGTCCTGGAAGTAAAATGTTGAGGAACATTTTGGCATCCTTCCATTACGCCCTCCTCTTTTAACTTTCTGCCACTTTCCAATAGCAACAGGCTAAGGGCCTAGCATTTACCACGTGGGCCTTTGGGAAACACCCAAGATCCAAACTATATCATCGGGGTTCATAATAACTCCATCTTTTTTCATCAGGAATTCTTACGTGGTGAGAAAGGCTTGGATCAGCTAATTCAGAGACTGCTTCAATCAGCAGATGAAGAGGCCATTGCTGAAGTTTTGGATGAAAGCCTTAAATCAATGAAATAAATATGGCTGATTATTTATTTTATAAAGGAAGTGGACTTTGATCAAGAAGTAAACAAGTGTGGAAATCCTAATGAATATTCATAAAGTGTAGCTGTGCATACAGACTTTTTATAGAATCATTTTAATGAATGAAATCACAACTTTTTGGTTTTGGTTTTTGATTTTGCAAGGCAAAGTTTCTCTGTGTAGCCTTGACGGTCCTGGAACTCTCTTGCTCTATAGACCAGGCTAGCCTTGAACTCAGCAAAAGTCACATTTCTTGACATAAAGTTTTATTTTGGGTTTCAGCAAATAACCCAACTCCTCAAGTAGAAAATAAGCTTGTAACATCAAAAAGAGAAATAAAATATCTAGACTTGATTTTATGAGTCAACTGTTTCTTTTAGGCCCTTTAAAAAAACCATAATCGTTTTTCTTCCAAGTAAGGGGGTTATGGGTGTGAGTCACCATGCCTAGCTTATCTAAAATTACAATTTTTTAAAATTACACAGCTCAAGACAAATTAGTAGCTACTAAATATTTGAAACAGAAATGATGCTTGCAGACAGCTCACACACCAGGGACTCTAACTAAGGGAGAGTGGCCTTATTAAAAGTCTCATGGCAATTAATGACTAATCGGCAATGGCAGTGTGGAATCATTTTGAATATGAAAATAGAATGAACAGTCTATGGGCTCTGTCCAAATATGGGAGTAAGAACAGTAGAGATGAGCCAGGCTGTCAGATGAAGTTGGAGGAGCAGGCAATGGTGACTCACTGGTAAATGGCATGAAGCTTGAGTTCTGAGACGAGCAGGTACTGTGCTTTTAATGAAGTAAAGTATATATCCCTTGCCTTAAAGCCCAAACAGGTAAAATACATTATACATGAGAGTGACTAGAATAAAAACCAGAAAGTGGGTTGCACAAAGCTGAGTCCAGTCTGAAGAAAGAAGGGAGCTCAGGGAAGCCAATCAGGAGCAAAATATTAGGGGACAACAAGAGGGTCTGCCCCAGGAAAGAGGTAAGGAATGACATCAACCAGAACGGGAATAGTGGAGTACCAACTAAGAGACATTTGATCTTCTCAGGAGGGCCCTGAGTTGAAAACGTTCATGAACCAATCAATGAGGATTCTGTTGTAGGTGATTATGTCAATTACAGGAAAACCTGAGTCAGAACTTTAAAGAAACAGGTGATAAGGAGCATGCTGGTGATTCAGTGGTGGCAGGAATGAAAGGGTGCTCATCATGAGAATCACCTAGGAATGCAGAGGACCACATTTGAAGCAATCATCTGGATGAGCTTCAATGATGCTGACCCCTCAACTTCTAGTTGGAGGCCCTTGCTTTATGACTGAACTGTGCTCAAGATGACTACCTAGAATGGAGTTTCACAACGTTGTTTAGTGCCAACAATTACAAGGAAACTCCACTGACATTCAATATAATTTATTGTGCACATCTGAATACAGTTCATTGAGTTTGCCATTTGCACCCATCTTTGCAAACACCTGCTTAACAGAAGAAAACCTTTGCTCTGTCTCCCAAAGTTTCCCCATGTTTCTTTCCAATCTAGTAATCCACCAGCTACCTACCCTTCATTCAAGACTGGCAGCTGCCATGACGGATGTTCATGGAAGCTTATTTTCAGTGGGCTGGGAGTCCACCATCTGCATGGGGGAAAAAAAATTTTTTTTTGAGATGGTTTCTCAGTAGCTATGGAGCCAGTACTAGAACTCACCCCATAGAGCAGGCTGACCTTGAACTCACAGAGATCCTCCTGCCTGGGATTAAAAGAGTAAGCCACCAACACCCAGCACTGGATGGACAATTCTTTATCGCCTTCTTTTACTCAGTGTAAAAAGTTTGAGACTTGCCTGGTGGTAATGGTGCACACCTGTAATCCCAGCAGATTTGGTGAATTAGGCAGAGGCAGGTGGATCTCGGAGAGTTTGAGGTCAGCCTGTTCTACTGAGCAAGTTCCAGGGCAGGCTCCAAAACTACAGAGAAACCTTGTCTTGAAAAATAAAACAAAACAAACAATGTATGTATATTACATATACATATATAGTATATAATATAATACACACAAACTTTATTCTGTTGATTGTTGGATTGTTTGCAGGTTGCAGCTACTCTGGGTTCAGCAATTGTGGAAAATTCTAAAGCAACTCTTTTTGTAGATTGTTGTATGATATTTTGTTTGTGTTCTGAAAAATAAAGCTTGCCTGGAGATCAGAGGGTGGAGCTAGCCACTACTTAAGTATAGAGGCCAGGCAGTGGTGGCATGGCTCTGGGAGGAGGAAGCAGGAAGATCAGGAAGTCAAGGCCACCCTGGGCTCCAGGAGATTGAAGTAATCTAAACTAGAAACAGCCTGGTGGTGGTAGCACTTTACCCCTTTGATCCCAGCACTTGAGAAGCTGAAGCTGTGATCCTAGCACTTGGGAGGTGAAGACAGGAATATAAGCAGGTGGAGACTGGATGGCCCCACATTTAGTCTGAGGATTCTTAGAGATAGGATCCCACAGGATCTACCCCATTTGGTCTGAGATTTCGTAGAGGTAAGAATTCTCCCAAGTGGCTAGCTGCTCTGCCTTTCTGACCTCTCAGCTTTCACCCTTGATATCTGACTTCAGGGTTTTAATTGATTAAGACTAATGATAATCATGCTTCAGTAGATATTCCCATTTTCCGAGGGCCTGCAAGTGAAATTAACTAATGTTCAAAAGATACTACACCAAGCAGTTTCCTAGTGTAGTCACAGAAGTTTCCATTTGTATTATCAATGTGTACGATTCCAGTGGTATCATATCCTCACCAATATTTAGCACAGTTTATCCTTTTGATTTTAGATATTCTAGTGAGGGTGTGGTGAACACTCATTGTGAATTGATTTATAGTCACAAAATGATGAATGACCTGGGCATTTTTGCATGTGGGTTTGTTTATTTTTGTTTGTTTGTTTGTTTGTTTGTTTTTTGGCTTTTTAAGACAGGGTTTTTCTATTTAACAACTCTGGCTGACCTGGAGCTAGCTCTGTAGACCAGGCTGACCTCTAACTCTCAGAGATCCAACTGCCTCTGCCTCACCAATACTGGGATTAAAAGTGTGTGCTACCACTGCCTGGCTTGCAAGTGTTTTTATTTGCCTGTATACATATAACAGCTATTTCTGACAGACTAGTGCCTACATTTTCATTTTCACTGGATTTTGAATGAGCCAAAACTTGGGATTTTGTTGATAGTCTGTATTTTTATTATTCTTTTGTTGAAGTGCTGTAAGAGTGTGTCCAGCCAAAATTAGATAGAAGCTTTGCACTTTTCGCTTGTTTTCCAAGACAATGCCTCTCTATATTGCTATCTACTCCTGGCTTCTCAAATTTATGCTAGAGGGTGAGTGAGATGGCTCAGCTAGTAAAGGTTATTGCTAACAAGCCTTAGGACCAGAGTTTGATCCCCAGAGCCCACATGGTGGAAGAAGAGACTTCCTTATGTTCTCTTCCTTTGACCTTCACACCTGTGCAATAGCTACCTCTCATACACACCATAAGCAAAACATGCTAAAAGTTCAAATTACACTTTTAAAAAGGATCCATCAGGGCCGGGTAGTGTGACCACCTCATTTACAACCAACACTCCGAAGGCAGAGGCAGGCATATCTCCATGAGCCAGGCAGGGTGGCCCAAGCCTTTAATCCCGGCACTCGGAGGCCACATAGTGAGCCAGGACTGCTCCACAGAGAAACCCTGTCTTGAAAAACAAAAAGCAGATGAAGAAAGTAAAAAATTGTATACAGAAATGTACAGTTTTGTTATGGTTTCAAACTAATGGATGTCTCTATTATTTTTTATTTTCAATTTTTCTAGACAGAGTTTCACTGTGAGGTCCTGCTTGTCTTAGAACTCACTCTGTAGACTCTGTAAACCAGGCTGGCCTCGAACTCAGAGAATCTGCCTCTGACTCCTGAGTGCTGGAATTAAAGGTGACAACCCCCCAAGCTGATTTTGCTGATTTTGCTGATAATTGCTGATTTTGCATTTTTAATCACACTATCAAAAAATAGAATGGGTACTTTTACTCTGGACTTGAAAGCCTTTTTATTTATTTATTTAGGTGTTGTCGCCCCCTCCTACACACACACACACACACACACACACACACACACACACACACACCACAGACAGGATTTTCCTGCATATAACATCCCTAGCTATCCTGAAACACACCTGTTTCAGCCTCACCAGCGACGGATTAAAGGCTGGATCACTAGGCAAGGCTGAAACCTGACATCTGAAATTCAGGACACTTACCCCTCCCCCCCCCCCCCTTTAAAGGAGTCAACATAAACAGTACCCAAACTACAACTCCCAAGATGCAAAGCTGCTTCAGCCCTTCTGTTTTGGCCCTCGAGCTTTGATGATTCCCGTCATGCATCGAGGCGCGCGAAAGGCAACCTGGGAAGAGTAGTTCGTCCGGGTACCTATCGGTATCGCCAGCGCGGCAGAAGCTGTTTTCGCGGCTGGAGCCCGGGGTCGAGTAAGGGTGTGCTCGGAGGAGAAAGGGCGCGAAGGGAAACGGTGAGTCAGGCGCGGGCTACGCGATAAAGGGAGGCGGCACCGCAGCGCAGGCCCAGTTTAGTAACTGCGGCTGCGAGCCGAGTGTCCTGGGACGCCTGTGTCGGCGTCGGCGAGGGAGGCGTGAGGAGGAGCCGGGCTCCTGCAGCCGTTCTCGCCCTCGGCGCCCCGCCGCCATCTCCACCATGCAGTCCCGGGAAGACGCCCCGCGCTCTCGCCGCCTCGCCAGTCCCCGCGGCGGGAGGCGGCCCAAGAGGATCTCCAAGCCCTCGGTGTCGGCCTTCTTCACGGGCCCGGAGGAGTTAAAGGACACGGCCCACTCTGCAGCCCTGCTGGCGCAGCTCAAGTCTTTCTACGACGCGCGGCTGCTGTGCGATGTGACCATCGAGGTGGTGACGCCCGGCAGCGGGCCCGGCACGGGGCGCCTCTTCTCGTGCAACCGCAACGTGCTGGCGGCGGCGTGCCCCTACTTCAAGAGCATGTTCACGGGCGGCATGTACGAGAGCCAGCAGGCCAGCGTGACCATCCACGACGTGGATGCCGAGTCCTTCGAGGTCTTGGTCGACTACTGCTACACGGGGCGCGTGTCCCTGAGCGAGGCCAACGTGCAGCGCCTGTACGCGGCCTCAGACATGCTCCAGCTGGAGTACGTGCGCGAAGCCTGCGCTTCCTTCCTGGCCCGCAGGCTTGACCTGACCAACTGCACTGCCATCCTCAAGTTTGCCGATGCCTTTGACCATCACAAGCTGCGCTCCCAGGCCCAGTCCTTCATAGCTCACAACTTCAAGCAGCTCAGCAAGATGGGTTCCATTCGGGAAGAGACTCTGGCCGATCTGACCCTGGCGCAGCTGCTGGCCGTCCTGCGCCTGGACAGTCTGGACGTGGACAGTGAGAAGACGGTGTGTCACGTGGCCGTGCAGTGGCTGGAGGCTGCTCCCAAAGAGCGGGGCCCCAGTGCTGCGGAAGTCTTCAAGTGTGTTCGCTGGGCACATTTCCCTGCTGAAGATCAGGACTACCTGGGAGGGCTACTGACCAAGCCCATTGTGAAGAAGTACTGCCTGGACGTTATTGAAGGGGCCCTCCAGCAGCTGCGTCTTGGTGATCGGTTATTCAAGTCAGTGGCGCCCAAGCCAAACAGCAGCCAGAGCAGCGGTGGGGACAATAGCGGCAGCAGTAGTTCTGCCGTAACTGTAGCAGAAAACCCACCCCAAAGATTGGGTATGTGTGCCAAAGAGATGGTAGTCTTTTTTGGACACCCCAGAGATCCTTTTCTCTGCTATGACCCTTATTCAGGCGATATTTACACAATGCCATCTCCTCTGACCAGCTTGGCACATACTAAGACCATTACCTCCTCAGCTGTCTGTGTCTCTCCGGACCATGACATCTATCTCGCTGCCCAGCCCAGGAAAGACCTATGGGTGTATAAACCAGCCCAAAATAGTTGGCATCAACTGGCAGACCGCTTGCTGTGTCGGGAGGGCATGGATGTGGCTTATCTGAATGGGTACATTTACATTCTGGGTGGGCGAGACCCGATTACTGGAGTTAAATTGAAGGAAGTGGAATGCTACAGTGTTCAGAGGAACCAGTGGGCATTGGTGGCTCCTGTACCCCATTCCTTTTATTCCTTTGAACTAATAGTTGTTCAGAACTATCTTTACGCTGTCAACAGTAAGCGCATGCTCTGCTATGATCCTAGCCATAATATGTGGCTGAATTGTGCGTCTCTTAAACGAAGCGGCTTCCAAGAAGCCTGTGTCTTCAAAGACGAAATCTATTGTATTTGTGACATCCCAGTCATGAAGGTCTACAACCCAGCTAGAGGAGAGTGGAGGCGGATTAGTAATATCCCTTTAGACTCAGAAACCCACAACTACCAGATAGTGAATCATGACCAAAAGTTGCTGCTCATCACTTCTACCTCCCCACAATGGAAAAAGAACCGTGTGACAGTATATGAATATGATACTAGGGAAGACCAGTGGATTAATATAGGTACCATGTTAGGCCTTTTACAGTTTGACCCTGGCTTTATTTGCTTGTGTGCTCGAGTTTATCCTTCCTGTCTTGAACCTGGGCAGAGTTTCATCACAGAGGAAGATGATGCACGGAGTGAGTCTAGCACTGAGTGGGACTTAGATGGATTCAGTGAACTGGACTCTGAGTCAGGAAGTTCAAGTTCGTTTTCTGACGACGAAGTCTGGGTTCAGGTTGCACCTCAACGAAATGCACCAGATCAGCAGGGTTCTGTGTAAATATTTTGAGACAGTAAGATGTTTCTGCTGTATGTAATGTATCTTAAAATGATACCCCTTTTCGTGAAAAAGACAAAGTTGATTAGGACTGGAGATTTGGTTTAGAAAGGGTAGCAATTTGAAATATTAATACAGTATACAAAATTTATACATTTTGACCTGAAATCAACTCATTTCAATAATTTACTGTGCTAAAAGTCCATGATTGCTAAAAGTCCATGATTAAAATATACATAGTGAACCATTTAGTGGATTTTATTGTTGCTGTTAATTAGTATGTTTATATTTTGATTTTCCTAATTTAGTTCAATTTTGCCTAGTGCTACAAGATCTTGTAATTTGTTACTAGCAAAACTAGACTGAGATTGAAGGCATTAACATTTTCCTTCAGAATAATGAAAGGTTACATTTTTAAGTAAGTTTTTATTATCCTCAGTTATAAGTTTGTAAAATTTAGTGTGCTCTCCTTTCTCCAAAGAAGGAAATGTTATTACGGTTACTGAATAGTGATTTCATGTTAATAATGTGTTCAGTGGGCTTACGCAGTCACAGAAAATTTTAAAAATCAGGATCTCACTTTTCATAGAATTTCAGTTTTTACTTTAAAATTTAAGAATATGCATGTGCTAAATATGACCTATTTCTTACCTCAGAAATGAAAAAATCATAACATTCTAGTGTCACCAATTTAAGCACCCTTCTAAACCAAAAGTGAAAAAGGTAACTTGCTGTCTAAAGTCACAGTTTTGACGTTTTGTTGATTTGGAAGAACAACCTTTTCTTCACTGGACATGATTAAATAATGTAAATTTTTCTTCTCTAGTCATGCACTGTCTTAAAGTTGGTTTGCTTCCCTAAAATATTTTGGCTATATAGTTTTAGTATTCATCTTAGAGGTTTATCAGCAAAAAGTGATTTATTCTTTAATGTTTGTGAAGTAATATTGGTTTTGAAAATATGTATAAGCTAAAGGCAGTATTTTATTGAAACTAGTAGTTGTAGTGTTTATCAGCTCAATTTAAGTGCCAGCAAAGAACTTTAAACCTTCAAGCTGTGTATAGAACTGTTTTGTGTAGTATTGAAATTGTCCATTTTCCAAGTTACTGTAAATGTTCTTGATTTTTCAGCTCGAAGATATTTTTGTATTAAAAAGTTGAGAGTTAAAGAACTCAAGTGGACGGTGGGTGGCATTTGGGGCCATTAGTTAAAGTGTGTTTCTTCAATTCTCTAACAATAGTGTATATAGCCATTGAGCTATGATGTCTGTACCTAGTTTGTACCTAGTTTTTACGTGAGTTATACTCGTTTCTGTTTCAGTCACCATATGTAAAGGAAAGCCCAGAAATAGTAAACCACATAAAACTGGCATTTTGTTACGTGATAGGTGCTTACCTTTTGAAGGTTTCTTAATACATATGGTTGTCGTAATACATATACGTGACAAATGGTGTACACATACAAATGTTTTATGCTGTATAAAGTTTTCTATACTCTTTTAGAATTAATCTTCCTGAATCTTTATTCAATAACATTCAATATTCCTCTTTATTCTCTAGTGATGAAATGCTAACGTTTTTTACACTCTGGTAGAGGACAGAAGAATCTGGTCCAGGACGGGAAAGTGATTTTTTTGAATGAAAAACAATAAAAATAAAATGAGAAAAGCTATACAAAATGCCACAGATAATGTATTCATCATTTTGATTTGGCTGTGTGAAGAGTCTGTTAAACACTCAACAGTATTTCTGTTGAAGTGATTTTGCTGACTCTTACAAAGTGTAGTCAGGCTTTAGTAGTCAGGCCTGAATCTAAATTCTGTTTCATCTGTAGCAGGAATGTTGTAAGAACTGCTCTTAGAAAGCTATTTTTCCCTGTGTGGGGCCAATTTTTTCTTCCCCAGAAACTTCTGTTGATCTGTCACTTTGTAAAGTGGAAACTTGCTAATGCTCATCTCAACCAGATCATTCATCTGCACAATTAAGATCTGCAATTGATGTACAAAAGGCAGGTTCTCTAACTTGTCATTCTCATCTCTTGAGTTCTCTTGAGTTAAAGCTTAGGCTGCATATTAGTAATATCTTGGCTTACAGTCACATTTTCTTGGGAAGGATTTTGATTTAGTGAAACATTTGTGAATTAGGGAATAGATGCTATTATTTTATAGATAAATGATTTGTATGTTGATAGCTACAAATAAAGCTGGTTTTAAACCTCAGGCTTCCTGGCTATATGCTTTGTTTAGTTATTTGTTAAGTGTAAATCATTGCTTGTCCAATGACACAGCTAGTAATATTGAAATCTTTCTTGGTAAGAACTGATTCAACTCACTTTGCCAATTAGTCAGCACATCTTTTAGCAAATGCTTGGTGTGCTGTCATCTCCAGGGCTACCATGTGTAAGATTTAGAATTACATCAGTTAGCTTTTATGTCTATGGACCTATAGTTTGGAATTCTGAGAGCCTAAATTATTTCAAATGTTTTTTTAAGTGGAAACTAGACATGGTGGTAGAATAGTTCTTACCCTATCACTGGGGGGCTGCTAAGACAGGAGGATTGCAGGTTTCCTGGGCTAGCCTAAGCTATACAGTGAGACCCTGTTTCAGCCAAAAATAGGACAATAATAAAGATATATGTTTTTGCTAAGTCAGTCTTTTTTTAAAGTTGGATTTAGGATTAAAAAATTGTAATAGTAAGCCAGGCAGTGGTGGTGCATGCCTTTAATCCTAGTACTTGGGAGGCAGAGGCAGGTGGGTCTATAGCCAGCCTGGTCTACAGAGGAAGTTCCAGGAGAGGATCCAAAGGTAAAGAGAATCCCTGTCTTGGAAAGTAATATACCCTCTGTCCTTTTGGTTGAACAGCTTTTTTTCTGTTTTGGACTTAAGTCGTATTTGAGACTATGATAAGAACTTCTGAGTCATTCCCTAGGGATGCATATGTTTATCTTTTCACAGTATCAATAGTATAATGACATCTACTTCTGGGTAAGAACAATTGTGACAGTGCTAAGAACACCTCTACAAAGAATTAGCATTTTCTATAAGACACGGCTCAAATATTTGAGTAAAATGCATCATGATGTTATTCCTAAAACATAAAGAATAAGACCTTTTATTCTGACAGAAATGAAAAAATAATATCAGAACAAAGACAAAGTTGACATCTGAAATTTGAATTTAGTTATTAAACATGGTTTGAAGAGCTCAAATGAGCTAATATATATATGAAGGCTTTGGCACATAAGCAATTTATAAATAAAAAGGATTATTGTCCAAGAAGGCCATACATGTATTAGATCTTAAAGCAAAATCCAAATGTCTCATATTTCTGATGTTGTGACTGCATAATGTCTTTTTGTGTTACCAACATAAATAGTAGAAGTTCTCATAATCAGGAAAATGGGTCATTGGAAAAGGAACTTAAACAGTTAAAAAAAAAAAAAAAACCAACAAACCTATAATTTGCTATTTATTGCTGATTAAACCAGGAGCCAGTGGTTTGCCAACTGTCATTCTTCTTTGAGACAGGTTCTCGCTGTGTAGGCCTGACTTTCCTGAAATTCACTGTGTAGACCAGGTCTGGAACTCCCAGAGCTCTGCCTTCCTCTTCCTCCAGAGTACTGGGATTTATAAAGGTGTGTACCAACACACCTAGCTCTAGTACAAGTTTGTGTTGAGATGAGTGAAGAAAGCATAAAGCAATGATTTCTAAAACTAAAATTGTTTAAATTAGCTTTAGGATTTCCAATGTCCAGTTTTTCTCATCCCTAAAAACTTTAAAAAAACTTCCACATGGCTCAAGGCTTCATGTCTATATCCTGGCCATCAGAAAGAAAGGGTATGGAATAGGAATATATAAAAGTTGTTTCTATAAGGAATGCGCATACCACCTTAGGTCACATTAACATTGGTTATATCTAAATGGCATGGTTATCCATAGCTGTAAGAAAGCCTGGGAGAGGTAGTCTTTATTCAGAGTCAGTTTGTACTTAGTTCAAACTCAAAAAGTTTCTTGTGACATATTGAAACGTAACAAGTCATGTTGTGGTGGTTCATGCCTTTAATCCCAGCACTTGAGAGGCAGAGGCAGGTGAGGCAGGTGGATCTCTGTGAGCTCAAGGCCAGGCTGGTCTGCAAATTGAGTTCTGAGACAGCCAGAGGTGTTACTCAAAGAACCCTGTCTTAAAAAGTAAAAGAAAGAAAGAAAAAGGAATATAAGTAACAGTCTCTAGTCATCAGAAGAGCATTCACGACACTACTAAGACTCCTAAGACCCACATTACACTATCTCTCAGACCTTAGTGGAAAGAGGCAGGGTTTTCTCTTGCTAACAATAAGAAGCATCCTGGCTGTCTAGTAACTAATTTTATTAGCCAATTCTGGTCACTTGTAATGAAGGTAGGAAATGTTAAGGGAGATGGATAGAGGAGAGATCATTGCTTCATTCTGCCCTAGCAGGTTATACAGAAATCTATTTCCAGAGAAAGGTTCAGAAGTGCTATGTAGCAACTTCCTACTAATTGGAGCACCCCATCAGAGGAATTCCTTAAGTCTTGGCAATCTGGATGCTAGAAAGATAACTTAGTCACTAAACATTTGTTGCTTGCTCATGCAAAGACATGGGTTTGATTCCCAGTGCACAGCATAGGGTATCTGATGCCCTCCTCAGTCACCAGGTGTGCATGTGGTACACGGATATACATGCAGACAAAAGACTCTTACACATAAAATGGAAAACTCAAGTCCTGGATTGAGAGATGGCTCAGTAGTTAAGAACATTGGCTGTTCTTGTAGAGGACCTCGGCTCAGTTCACTCATGTGGCAGCTCACAACTGTCCATAACACCAATTCCAGGAGATCTGATGGCTTCTGCTGGCCTCTGCTGGCCCCTGCTGACATCTGAGGCCATGCACACTACACATGCAGGCAAAGAAGTACACAGACATACTTACAAGGCAAAACACCCATATGCATAAGTAATGTTTAAGACTGGGAAGTTATAAAGCAGTGGTTCTCAACCTATAGGTTGATATCCCTTGTGGGGTCAAACAATCTTTTTACAGGGGTCACCTAAGAAAACATTTGTTTACATTATGCATAACAGTACCCAAATTAGTTATGAAATAGTAATGGTTGGGGGGTCACCACAACATAAGAAACTATAAAAGGATTGTAGCATTAGGAAGGTTGAGAACTACTGTACTAAAGGAGGCTCCTTGAGACTTGGGAAATAACACACAAGTCTCAAGACATAGAAACTTAACCAGATTCACAAGGCCTCTCCCTTCCCAAGACTGTTTAATCAGTAAAGATGTTGAGGAAAGGAGACTGACTTGCCAGGCTGCCTGCAAATTGTGTGAAGAATGCCAGACTCCAGGATTTCAGCTTTTGTGAAATCACTCTCTTCTCTGCGGAGACGCTTAGCAGTCACCATGTGAGCTGCCAAAGGAGTTGGAGGTCCGGACCCTTCTCCGGTAAGATAAGACCACTTGGAAATACTTAGATTAATAGAAATGGGTTATTAATTGAGAGAGCTAGCCTATAAGAAGCCCAGGTCATGAGCCAACAGTTTCATAATCAATATAGTGTCTGTTTGTTTATTTGGGGCTCTCAAGGGTGACAGGACCTGCCTGGCCAAGAAAACTCATGCTTTCAAGGGGTGATAGCCACACTTATCTGTGGGTATAAGATTTAAAATGAGGCTAGGAATTTGCTGGTCTAGTAAAGTGATTACAGATTCTCTTCTAAGACGCATGACCTCCCAGGCCCTGGGAAGTTGGCTAGGTTTCCATTGTATTGAGTGGGCTTTCAGTCCTATTAGGCAAACTGCTGATTACTGCCAACATGTGAGTACCACTGACTCTACCTTTATGAATGGATTGCTATGCTTATGTTTGTGTTCCATAGGTGTCACAGCTGGTTGGGACTGTTATCTTCTTCCCTTGGCAGTTTGCACAGTTTGTTCTGGTATCATGGGAGCTAGACCACAATGAGGCTTTCAGGCTAGATCTAGCTCCAACAATTCTCAGCCTGCATCCTGTGTGAGGTATCTTCTTCAGCAATAGGAGCTCACCTTCAATCTCCAAGGACAACAGCCATAGTTGGCACTGGGGATTGTGTTAGTCTGTAGTTCTTGTGGGGAGCATTGTCACCTTTAATGGTGTATGGATGTGTATGTACACACTTACAATGTATTGCGTATGATTTTAGGTAAATATAAAGTAAATGGAGACAACTGAACACTGCAGTGATTGATGGATCATGAAGGAGCTCATCCCCAATGGATACATCTATATCACAGTTCCTGTGTCTATGGCCCAGGGATTATCACATGATAGGACAATGTCCTTCCATGTGTTGTGATTGTTTCTCTTACTGGTTGGTTGGCCGGAAGTATAGGTGGCGCTACCAGACTAGGATGGCTGGGAAGAGGAACACAGAAAGAGTCTCAAGGGAGACGCCATGTAGCCGCTGAAAGAGTAACATGCTAGAGCATTAAGGGTAAAGCCACAGCCTCATGGCAATACATAGTTTAATAGAACTGGGTTAATAACTAAGAGAGAGCTAGCCAATAAGAAGCCTGAACCATTGGCCAAACAGTTTGTAATTAATATAAGCCTCTGTGTGTTTATTTGGGACTAAACAGCTACAGGACCGGGTGGGACAGAAGAGCAGAATACTGGGAAGTTCCACCGTGAGACAGTCTCTCCTAGATGTGGCTACATAAACAAGATCCCAACAATGGCAACACCAGTGGACAAGGCAACACAGAAGGGGGCGAAATCTCCTGGGTAAGGAACTACAGACAACTGATAACTGCTGAGAGGGAGAATTAGACTTTCCCAGGGATGAGCCCCCTAATTTGTTTTCCAGTATAAAGTGGTCAGCCCTGAAACCGTATATATACAAACAGAAAGACTTAGTAGGTTTAATTTCTATACTTGTGCATGTGTGTGTGTGTGTGTGTGTGTGTGTGTGTGTGTGTGTGTGTATTACAATAATCATCAGGGAAGAAGGAGCTTCTTCAGTCTGAGAGTAGGGGGACATGGAAGGAATTGGAGGAAGGAAAAGGAAGAGGGGAAGTGATATAATTAAATTTTAATTTAAAATGTACAAAACTTTTATTTTGTGTATGAGTACTTTGCCTGTATGTATTTATGTGCATCATGTTTGTGTTTGGTGCCTTTTCAGGCCAGGAGAGGGGGTTGGGTCCCCTTGAAC